CGATACTTCGCTTCTATTCGGATATAGCGCATTTCCACGTCAATTGCACCGTGTATTGTGGTCAACGGAGACATTCGTTCGAAATCGCTGGTATTTTGCGATACACGGGAAGCATCAGTATGACAGTACGACGGCTGATCAAAGGAGAGAGCGAGATCTTTTCGGAATTCAACCTGCCCGACTTCGGTCATATGATGGACGTGTTTCTTCAATGGACAGGAACGCTACTTCTAACAGTACTAGCCCTGATACTAGCGGTAATAGCTACTTATGTATGCGTTTCTAGTACCCTTTTTCTCAGACTTGTCAAAAGCTATCTTCATTTTCAGCTTAAGATTGCCAGCATGTTCTTTCGCTTGCTCCTCCTTATAGTGTGCATGCCCTGTAAACTCCTCAGGCACAATGACAGAAGACACATAAAACCTGAAGAAAAGAATCTCTGAAGAACTAAATAGAATGCACAATGGGGGTTATCCTAGGGGGTTCAAGAGCGAAAGTAATCAGATTATTTGCAGCATGGCCACTTCCTACGATCAAGAACGTCGTCTCCGCAAGGAACTGAAACGAAAGATCGAAATCGTCGAGTCGTCTCCAGCCCGTCCATCAGAAGCTCTCATTCAATATAAATTGAGACTCTATGGTGACAAATGTTTCGATTGTAGCTCTATCATCCAGCAGGCGCGCTACGAGTTTGTAAGCTTGATGTCTAGCAAAGAAGATCTTCTTGATCGCCGGGGGGGACCCCTTCACTTCCTCGTGAAGATCCAACAACTGCACGATATGCACGAGCACAAGAAGAAAGAAATCCTCGCGAACGTGGAGAACTTCGTGCTGGCTCACGAATGGTATGAAATACTAGTCGCAGCAGACGAAGTTGAAGAACTCAAGAGACTGGAATTCTTGAGTCAGCTCAGCGAAGAAGTATGCCTCGAGCCAACTGAGCCTGGGCAGTCGGGCTATCCGAATCCGGTGGAGGTACATCGCAATTACGAAAGACGCAGTGTGACTGGCATGGTACAATACCAGATGATAGCTTTCGACACCTTACTGCAGGAAGAAAGGGACGCAGTCGATCGAGCGAGAATGCAGGTCCGTCATCTGGAAGTGCACGAGGAGCGAACAATGGGGGATTTACGTCTTGCCGTAGAACAGCTTCAGGACGAAGTTCATGGACAGATGGACCATCTGAGGGAAAGTGTGGAGAAGCTGAAAGAGCGTGTGGATGCCATGGAAAGTGCCCTGGCTAGACGCACGGTACGAATTCTTGAGAGTGTCAACGAAAAGCACGCAGTGATGCTGCACAAGGTCGAAGAGTATTTCCGATCCCTGGAAGGAAAGGATTCGCGGCTCATGGATGACCGCAGGAGCAAGGAAAGACGAGAAAGGGATGACAACAGGAGGAAGGAATACGAAGATCAGCTGAAATACTACCAAGAGGAAAGAGAAAAAATCGACGACTTCATCGAGAGAAATACCGTGCGAGAAAGGTACTTCGGAGCGAGAATGATGAGAAAAAGGGAAGGCTGCATGATGTGCGTGTACTGTACAGAAGTTGGAAATCACTACTCAGATGCTTGCCCCAGGGTACGCACGGTGAGAGAACGAAAACATCTTCTCCATTCTCAAAACCGCTGCTTCATATGTCTCGAACAACATGAAGGAGAATGTGGCGATGTCGGAAATTGTTTCTATTGCAAGAACAGCAGACAGCAATCCACCAAAGAACCGGATCACCATGCTAGCATTTGCACTAAACCCGAAGAATTCGCGATAGCACTAAAAAGAAGGAAGGCGGTACGGGCGAACATCCAGCATTACCTTCAACTCCTGGAAGACTTGGATGCTAAAGAAGGTCCCTCGTCCGCCAGTGAGTCATCGTCGATGCCGCGAGGAGCGAGATGAGAGAAGGTTGGGTCGGACAACGGCTCGGAAGTGCGCAGATGCAAGATAGAGCTTTCCTTGTGCTGGGCCGGAGTATACTGAATATATATTCAGTATCTTCTTATTTCTGACAGTTGTACTTTGATCACACGTATTAATTGTATTGTTCTCACATCATATGTATAATTCTCATGAAATTCCTTTATGTTGTTTCTATTAGCCGTTATGTTTAACCGTTCATCGCATTCTTACTCTGCTAACTATGAGAATATCGTAGTCTCTCGCAAGCTTATCAGATGAAACCTCTCCTCCGCGTTGCAACTTTCCCAAGCAGGCCAAAGGCCAGGCATAAAAGCGACCGTAGGCAGCTGGAAGGTAACTAGTTAGTTCTTTCTGTTATTTTTCTTCTCTTGGAAATTCCCTTGCTTGTTGTACTGCACTAAAAGTTTCTAGAGGCACGATTACTGCACTATAAAGCCGCCTTTCCTGCACTAAAGGCGACACAAAGTAGACGTAGGTAATTTTCTATTCTGTGCCTTCCTTGATTTATTCCTTATTATTATTTATTATTATTCTTATGAATAAAAAGTTTAATTACCCAAGTTTGAGGTCGGTGTGTAACAGTCCCGCGTGGCAAAACTCATATACGATCCAATACAACACCCGACTTTATTGTCGGACAGTATTGGGTGACGCCGTCCTACAGACATACTAGCTGTCGTCCACCATTGATGGAAATACTCGTCAAGGCGTTGAGCGGATATGGTATTTCGTGTGACAGGGGGGTCCGAGTTAGCCTAGGAGACAAAATTTCAGCGAATTCGATCACGTAGGGGAGTTTGGCACCGGCGCCTATGGCGCGGACACCAGGCGCTTTCGTGGCAAGCTAAATGTGATATCGTGCTTCAGTGGCAAGCTACCGCAGGAGACAAGTTTTTCAGCGAATTCGGTGATTTATGGTACTTTGGCGCCGGCTCTTGTGCGGTGGCGAAGGCAGTTTCGCGTCAAGCGACTTGTGGTATTCGTTTCAGAGCGACAGGCTGCTCCTCCTACGGAGCAATTACAAGCGGACTCGGCTGTTTAGTACATCTTTATTATTAAACAATAGTGACAGCCACCATTGTGTGCCATCGTCGTCAAGTACATATAGAAAGTGTTTGCACTTTCTGCCTCCAAGGGGGCCGCGATCCACTCATTTTATTACGAATTTTAATATATTCATGGAATTCCTTTCCATTTCATACTTTCCACTGACTCCATCTTGTGAAATAATCAATGAAAATCCATCAAAAGCGATTCTTGTTATGGGATGTCATCACGCCGAAAGCGCCTTTAAGTGTTTGTTGCTTAGGCATGGTGATTCATTTTGTTTGGTGTGCACTTGAAAAGTGGCCCATAAGGTTCTTCCATTATGTTATTCCAATGTTTAACCCCGCATGTGACATGGAATGTCTCTATAGATTTATTTCATCATGGTTCGTTCCAACTCTTGGCAGGTGCTCTGAGGAGAACTTACAAAGATCAATGCCCGAGGAATAGTCCTGTTCTTGGGATTTCGTTCAGACGCTCCTCAGCTGGTACAATTCTTCCAGATAAGCCACGCCATCCTACTTCAAAGCCTTACAGGTCGAAAATCTTCAACGTGAACGCTTTGATACGTTTTTTTTCTCATCCTTCAAATTTTCACCAAATTCTGATCATTGCCAGTGAAGTTTAACACATAGACGGTCTCTTGAACGCCCAGTGTTTTCAACAGTCTAGACGGATACCAAATTCTAAGAAAGAATGCTATCTTGTTAATCCCTTGTGCGAGGTGAATCGGTCTTACTCCCGGTGAGGTTGCTGCAGTAGCGTCTCGCTTTCTCCGCTCAAAAGTGGCTTGGAACGAGGCGACTGTTGTCGTGCGTACACCATGACTGCAACTGCCACGTACACATCTAGGGAGTTCCCAATAAAGAAAGCGAACGCGACAAAAACGAAACAATCTTTCATATAGCAATCGAAGGTCCACGAACAAATCAACACGACTTGAGCGAATAAGGGAGGCGAAGGGAAGGACTGGGCCGCAGGGGAAGGTTTATTTTGGCGCACTCCGCGCAGGAAGGAGGTTGTTTGCGAGATTAATGTGACGAAGTTCAATCGACGCTTGCTGCTTTTTTTTAGCGCGATTCCCACCACCGAAGGCTGCTAAGACAAAGAGGAGGTCGTTGAGGCGCTCGCAACTGTCGTGATACCCCGGTGCGTCGCTCATTTCACCGTGTGGTGCTGCATGGTTAGCCCTTGTCTACCATGGATAAATGCGTGGCTTAGCTGCACACTCTCCATCCTGGTTGTTGTCCTCCAGTGAATGCGTGTTCGCCATTTGTGGTCGACGCAAGTGCCACAGCTTGAGGACAGCACACGTAGTCGAGAAACAGCTTCCGGGTACTACTACCAACCTTCAGCTCCGTTCCCGTGCCCTTCTCAGTGGGCAAGTGCGCGCTAAATGCAACTGCGGCCCATTCACAGCTCATGCATGACAAGGACGTCTTCGGAGAGATAAGTGTACAGTTTGTCTTCGACCTTTTACGACATCAGCAATATGAGTCACATCTTAGTCTCCAACCGTAAAGTTGCAATGCATATCTCCTTCCTAGCCTTTCGAAACCACTTTTGTGCTTTTTTTCTTACGTTTGTTTTGCACAACTGATTTCCCATTGTTGTATAGTTGCTGAAGCGCACAGCATATCGGGAGAAACCCTTGACAGTGCCGTGAACATCATCTCACTCCAAACTGGACACTTTTGAAACCAGATTGGACATCTTGCGAACCAAAGCGGACACACCCTTCACAAGGTGAATTGATCAACCATATCACTGTCTAGGGATGGTGGCCACGTCGAAAAGGCGATTTTCAATGAGACATAGCTCACAAGAAATGATTTTTTACGCCAATTGCGAATCGATGGAAAGTCCGCCGCCAAAAACATTTCTCTCAAAGGCGAATAGGACCCAGCCCTTCGGCAACTGAATCTGACTTCCTTCACTGGGGATCCCCAACGTGCGTCGTGCCCTGGCGAAAGCCAATCGGCGATAAGCGCACTGTATAAACAAGTTTTTCTCGCGAATGTTTAAGTTGATTACTCCTTAAGATGAGTTTTCCTTGTCTTCCTCTGAGAAGTAATTGTTCTTTTCTTATCGGTAACTATACTTACGTGAACATCTGTAACTATACTTACGTGAGAATGCAGAGCCATTCTGCTGAACAACTCGCTCGTTCGCTTCTGGTGCTGAATCGTGTGGAGGACGGAACTGAACCAAACCAAAGTGTTTCTCCTTCGCCCAAATAACCTCTGCGTAGTCTCTTTTGTGGCTCCAGCGTTACTAACGAGGGAGCTGAGGTTGTCAGAAGTCGAAGATGTATGCGGTACCTTTGAGACATCGCCCATCGGGGACGAATATGTTAATGGTCGTGTCTCGCTTACGGTAGTTGCAGTTTTTCATCAAAAGTTCTTAGAGTTAGCTTGTTCCACGAACTTATTTTCCGTGTAACTTCTTTGCGTGTTTTTGCAATAGTTTTACGGTGCTCCAAAGCTGGAGGACGGGATGAAACGAAACCAGGGTGAACATAAGCGGCATCTGTAATGATTTCCCGGCATACATACCAGTTCCGTCTTACGGATTATATCTTGTTTCCCACACTCCTTCGCTTACCTTTCATTAGAGGCAACCGCCTCTGGCACCGGTGGTGCTTTATTCGGACCAGTGGTCCAACACGCTCAGACTGTTCTTTTTTGCTTCCACACTGACTCTAGTTAACTACAGTCTTCACAATTCATATAAAAATGAACCCTAAAACTCTTGCATATATCACGGATCGTGCACTTATGTGAACGCATGTGTTACATTTCAGCTTAGGCTAGAGATGATTTTCGTTGCATTTGCTATCCTTGTTTATTAATATTTGGCCCTGCGCGTTTTTTCCTTTCTTTTTTCCTTTCTTTTGTTTCTATTTTTTGTCTTTTGTTTCTATTTTTTGTTTTTAACATGTCCCATACCTCTTACACACTATCATTCACACACAGAGCTATGCCTCTCAAAAAAGAGGGCCATACCTCTTCAGAAGAATAGGGACTAGCGCTGATGGGGCTATACAAGTCAAAAACGGCAAGAGGGGATAGTTTTTGGCGCCCCAGCGCTGGTAGTTCTTGCAGGGAGAGCCATCCCCTGAGCAGCAGCCCTGCCGAACCTTCGGGAAGTCTCCTCTCTGCGTGTGGGTTTGACCGCTCATGCGCTTAGATATTAGGCCAAAAAAAAGCGAAAATCAGCTACAAATTATTACTCCACGACCCGGTCCCACAACGTAAGGGGTGGGGTAAATCACTTCAAACTCAATGACTTTGGTAACGATAACAAGGGTTGCAAATGTAAAAGTGCAGAACATGCGAGATAACTAATACAGGTAACTACATTGTACCAAACGTTACAAATTTATATATCAACACATATAAAGAAGCAGATGCCGATTGCAACGCTAAAAATGTAGTTTATTGTTTAGCATGCAATGGCTGTGGGATACAATGTGTTGGAGTGACTGTAAGGGAATTAGAAGAAAGAATTGGAGAACATCTTCCTAATATATTTTCACATAGTAAGCGCGCGAGCGCAGTGGAAGTGGCTCACCCTGCTTCTGCCCTAACAGCGGTCATTTACTAAGGTTTTATCCTTATGACATAAAAGGTACAAGGTAAGGCAAGTAACCAATAAGCACACGACACGCATAACTGAACCACAAGTACAACGAAAGCAACGAATAACGGTACAACGAGCGATGAGATACAACTGAAGGTAAGTGAGATCTTGTAGGATGGAGCAGGTGTTTCCGGTAGGACGAGGCGTCGCCTCAGAGATGATGAGAGGTCCAAGCTGCAGTCTCGGCCTCGGCAAGCGGTCGACTCCCCGAGCTTCTCGTGTGTTGCCTCGCCACGCCCTGGAAAGACAAGATGAGTCATGGCAAAACATCGAGCGTAAAAAGGCAACACAAAACACTGGTGTGAAAGGCAAGGAACACCGCTTCTTTGAACTTCACTGGAACAACGAGTCGTTCAAACTTGAAAGGGGGATCGGACGCGAGACGCTCGTTGTAGTAGAGGCAACCGTTCTTACGAATGACGCACTTCTCGGCAAACGCTAGCCAAGCAGTCTTCTGGTCTTCGGTCAACGAGTCAGGGAAGCGCTGCGTTTGGATGAAAGACATAATCGAGGAACAGAATTGGTCCTGCTTCTGCTCCTGGAGGGCGTCATAGGGTCGGATAGCACGAGGGAGACCAAGACAATAGAGGGTGGGGCGGATGGAGTAAGTAAGTGGAGAGACCGAGTTGATGCTAACAGGGAATTCCACTATATCCTCCGATTCCGGAGTACCATCCTGAAACCGAACAGGGACGAACCGCGCGAGAGAAAGCGTCGGCCACGACGTTAAAAGATCCTTTGAGGTACTCGATGGAGACGTCGTAGCTTTGCAATTCGACTACCCACCTCGTTAAATTATCATGGGTCTTATTGTGTGTAAGTAAGAATGTGAGTGGACGATGATCTGAAAAGATGGTGGTATGGTTCCCGTAGATTGTTGTCCGGAAGAAGCGCAAAGCGCTGATAATAGCAAACAACTCGATGTGTGTGGGGCTCCATTTCTGCTGCGATTTTGAAAGTGCCTTACTGAAATAACCAACTGCCACCAGCTATTTGTCAGCATCCGAGCTGTTCTGGAAGAGAGCGGCACCCACCGCATACTGGCTGCCATCAGTGTGTAGGAAAAACTCCCTGTCCTGAGGAAAAGCCAGGCATGGTTTTGAAACCAAGAGCTGTTTTGAGCGCTGGAAAACCTCTTCCTGTTCAGAACCCCAGACAAACTTTGCGTAATCCTTTAGTAGGGCATAGAGCGGTGAAGCAATTGAGGCAAAATTCGCTATGGACTCACGGAAAAAGTTCGCCATACTACCGATGAATCCTTTTAGTGCTTTGGTTGATGATGGCGTCGGAAAATCCTGGATAGCTCGAATGTTGCGGTCGGCAGGGGAGTAGGAGCTCCCGGAAATCTCATGACCTAGAAAATTTATATGAGAGCGTGCTATTTCTGTGAGCTTCTTGCCAGATGCCTTGATGTTATAGAGGCGGAATCTGTAGAAAACTTTTCGTAGCGATTCTAAGTGACTAGGGAAGTCTGTGTCGAGAACTACAATATCACCAAGGTAGGCTAAAGAGTTAGCTTCCAACCCTGCTAGGATCCGTGCCATAGCCCGAGAGAAATAGGCGCCTGCGTTCTTCAACCCGAAGGGAAGATAAACAATTTGGTAAACGCCGCTATGAGTGGCCCAGCTACACTTCTCTTGGCTCTCAGGAGACAGCAAGTGTTGCATGTACCCCCGATGCCAAATCGAGGGTTGTGTAAAATTTGTGGCCGGATATTTTAGCAGAATATCCTCGATGCGCGGTAACGGGTAATGGTCGGGGAATTGTGACGTCATTCAGAGGCCGAAAATCCAAACAGACACGCAGGGAACCGTCCTTTTTCTTTACCAAAACAGTATTATGAACCCATGGGGTGTCGCTTTCAACAATACGCCCCGCGCTGAGCAATTTATTAATGTGATCATCGAGCTCCTTTTGGAATTTGACAGGAATACGTGGGGGACGGAAGCGACCTGGTGGCGTATCCGTAGTGGTCTTGATGACGATTTCAGAGTCCTCATAAGAACCGAGGTCGTAGGACCCCGTGGAAATTCGATCACGGAACTCATACAGGAGCTGGGCTAACTGCTCCCGTTCCTTGTCGTTGACGTCAGCGTGCGAGAGGTCTACTTGGCTGGAAGGATATCTGGTCTCAGCGTCAGGGCCATCGGCCGCTGTAAGTAAGTTCCCGATGAATGGAGCAGATTCAGAAAGAGATAGGGGAAGGGACGTCGATTCACCATAGCGCAGCGGCACGGCAGAGGAGACGAGCTGTCCCTTGTACAGTGTCTCAGCTCGCGGAGAAGGGTTAGCAATTAAAAGCAGCGGAGTGTTAGAATTCACAACGGCAGGTGTCACCATGAGAGATTTTTCTGCCAGCTTGGTATTCTGGGAAACTATCATTAAATCGGAGGGATTGCTGGCATCCGTGTAGCATTGGAGAAAAGTCTCCGCGCAAGGCGGGAGTACTGTAGTCTTAGCCACGCGAACGGCGATCGTCTGCTCTGGAGCACAGTCGTCAACGTTGGGTGACGAGCACAAGATCCGTACCTGCTGCCCTGGCATCGAAGAGGTACGATTGTTGTAATCGATAGGCCAAGATGGGAGCTTGTGCAACAAGTCGTTGCCGAGAATGATGTTATAAGTCTCGACAGTATCGGGAATACAAGCCGACTTTGTGAAATAAACAGGATGTTGGAAAGATAGAGTACCTATCTCGAAAGGTAGGGTGGCGTGGCGTAGCCTAATAAGTGGACTGGTACTCCTGCCATGCCAACGGCGCTAGTGACATCACCAGAGAGGAGGTTGAATGCCCCAAAGAGAGGTGCGGTCTCTGCAGTAGAGATGGTGATAGACGCACCGGTATCGACCAGAGCTAGGACGCTGATGTTACTGACGCGTATGGGAATTTGGGCCACGAAGAATCGGTCTCGATCATGGAGGTATAGGACATTGATTGGGGCCATTATCGCTTTGGGAGGCCATGAAGAAATGGTCAATTTTGACGTGGGCTAATTCGACAGTGCTGACAGTCGGCTCACCTACAGTAACCGGCAACGGAGCCGGGTGGTCATGGGGGGAATGGCAGCTGTGAAAGGAAATTGCCTGCCCTGAATAGAGAACTGTTCTCGAAAACGAGGCAGACAGCCCGGGTAGTACAAATTGCAATAAAGAACGAGAAGGGCTTTTATGAAGCTAACAGATACAGCAATGGAGCATACCGCAACCCAAAGATCGAAAAATGACCAAGACCCGAAGATGAATGACCAAAAAGAGGGCGAAACAGAAGAGTTGGGAAGGGAGTCAGTATCTGACACAAGGCCACTAGATACGCGAATGCGAGAGAAATGATCTGATGACACAGAGGACCATAATTCTTGCCACTGATGATAATGAACGAGTTTGCTGAGGTTGGTGAGAATTAGATTGTGGAAGATGGTGAGTGGGAGAGCGAGAGCGGAAGCATTAATGCTGGTGGGGATGCCTATATGACGCTTTGTGCGGGAGGGGCCTGGTCGGAGACAATCAACGTGGTGGGGTCCAGAAACGAGAGAACAGTAGGGCCGGTAGGGGGTGAAATCCTGACAAACGGCTCGGAGAAGCAGCTGCCATTAAAGGGTACGAGCTGGAAATTACTTGATGGTATGGGCATACAACGGTGCAGCTGGACAAGATCATTACCGAAGGTGGCAGCGATGTCCTCACGAGCGAGCAGATTACGGATGGTGACGGTAGGGCTAGTAGCTAACGAGGTGTGAAGAGCGTACGCCAGTAAATTCGTTCTGTCACAGAGAGCGGACAGAGCGTGATAGAAAAAGTGCCGACACGCCAGACGCAACGGAGCCTTCTAGTGCGAGGAGCTGCGCTGAGAGCTGGTTGGAAGTAATTATGCCGGCGTCAGCGCTGGCTGATCGTGGAAGCCGGGTGACCGGTGCAACCGCATAACCCTGCGTCAGAAAGAATTAGCTGTGCGCCGCAATCCTGGATACGATCACTCGAATCGCGCCACAAGAGTGCAAACTCCTTAGAATCGCTGATCCAGATCTCGCCGAGCTGCGACCTTTCATTTTCATGACAGGCGTAAATCGGCAAGACTCCTCTTTATTAGGGGTCCACAGGAGTATCGATCCATCCTTGAGAACACAGCTGCCGATTCGTAAGCGCCATTCGGCTAGGTTTCCGACTGGAGAATCCGGGAAAGGCAGCGCCATGTCGCATGTGAACGACAGTCGAATTAGAAAGCAATTGGACATGAATTGCTGTGTTCGGTGCAACAGCCAAGAGGCGGCGAAGGCAGTTATGGTTAGAGAATTAGCTGTCGACCACTGATCGGACTGGCTGAGATCACCGAACTTCGCATTTGTGATGCTGCACCATGAGCTTACAGGCTTCTAGAGAGACGATGGAATGCACTCAGTACGGTTTTCGTAACGTGGCCCCAAAGAAATTGACGGAGTAAGATACGACTGAGTAACAATCTTGCATAAGAAAGCCAAAGTGTCATAGCGCTGTGTATTGGGCGGCGTAAACATGGATAGACAGTGCTCGAAGGGTCTTTTCGATACGGGAATAATACGCGAGCAATTATAGGATGTGGGGATACGTGCCAGCGCGTCAGCTGAGTCTTGTGGACAGAGCCGCGGTGGCAGGAAGGGCTTCGCACCCAGCGCAGCATAAGAGCATGCAATGACTAGGCAATAACGACTTCAGAGAAGCTCGAGTTAAAGAAGAAGAAGGAGCAAGAGAAGTATGATTGCCAAAAGTAGAACTAGCCAGTTGCTCATTACGCTTAACCAGGGCTGTGACCCTGGCGTCTGACTGTTCCAATGCCGATTGTTTCTCGCGCAAGGAGACAGACAAAGCTCGAATTTGTTCGCGGGCTTCCGAAAGTTCGTGATCTCGATCACGACGTGAAGAAGAGTTGTGAAAACGAGAAGAAGAATTCGGTAAAGCGCCTTCAGAAGATCGGCTACGAAAAATAGTGGTACCTGTAGGTCTCCGAGTGTTACGAGGAGACGGGCAGAAACGGGAAAAATGACCGACTCCGCCACAATTAAAGCAAGATGGAATAGTTCTCGGCTGGGTCGAAGGAATGAAGTTGCTTCCTGCAGGTCTCTGAGAAGGTCGGGTTGAATTACGATTTGAAGAATACCGAGACTGATCGTAGCGGGACTCCCTGGCTGGTGGTCTCCGAGGACCGGCTGTCTTCACTTCGACTGGCTGGAGCATCTGCGACGGGCGAATGAGGCGATCGGCTCGCTTCAGCCAGGAGCTGTTCAACCATTTGCGCACTGGTGACAGCCTGCTCAAAGGTGGCTGGGTTGTCCAACTTTACGTAATCCGGATGTCCGGTCGAAGTCGAGCTACGAACTCTTCCAAGACGCGTTTCTTCTGGCTAGACGAGTCTTGACCAGCGGTGGCTGCTCGAACTAAAAGGAGCAACCGGTTAGTAAACGTAGCAGAGGACTCACCTGGTTGCTGCTGGCCCAGACTTTGACGAGCCATGTAGCGATGCTGAGGTCCCTCAAAAGGGTTCTTAAGATGAGCCACGGCGGCACCGTAGTCGTCGCGCTCCTGTTCCGAGAGCCCCTCTACCTTCTCTCGTGCCACACCGTCCAAGTGACCTGTAAGAAAATAGGCCTTTTGTTGCGAAGTCCAGGAAGTGGAGCGCATCCGCATGACGCCCTCAAGGCGGCGGAGCCACATAGAGAACTGCATCGGATCCTCTCCGGATCCTGTGAAAGAAACTATTCTCGGTAACGGCCCCTCCGGGGTTAGTGTGGCCACAACAGGGAAGGAGTTAATGCGAGCACCAACAGCGGCAAAGGAAGAACTCAAGTCGGAAAGGAGGTTGGAGTTACCTTCATTAATAGTGCGCGCCAGCCGGGTGGTCTCGGCTACGGTATCGCTACGCACCTCAGCGATGGCTAGCACCGCTGCGTCGCGAAGAGTCTTCGCGTGACGTCCATGGACAGTAGCACGGTCGTCCAGATCTGCCAGGACGTTTGCGAGGTTGTCCGAAGCGGATATCTCAGAATCTATTCCCGATGAGAGGGCAACCGCCCGAGAATCAGCCGAATGTGTGCGCGACCGCGTCACAGGTGGACCCATGACGGAGCGCAGTAGACAAGACGAAGACGTAGCAACCAGAAACAGTACAACAGTTGCGAGTGACCGTCTTCGGCTCTCAGCTGTGGGCGGGCTTTCCAATAAGGGGGTGTGGTACCGTAATCCGCCAGAGCTTTGAATTCCCAAAGGCAAAGAGCTAAGGTCATATGATATTGAGATGGCATGCACTGACGAACAAGTTATTTGAACGAGGGAAATGAGAGACCGGATGGTATTCCCGGCTTATCGCTATCTTGAGCTGCACCTCGGATGTTGTTATGGGAAAGAAAACATTAGAAGACGAACGAAGCTGATGGGAAACGACTGCTGGGAAAGACGCTGCAGATAAGGCTACACGAAGGAATGCGATAATGGAAGAGAAACAAACCAGAAATGACTTGGCGAACAGAACTTATAGGAAACGGAATTTTGGAAGAGGAACAAGGGAAAAGAAATGAAAAGGGAGAAAATGTAGAGTACTGCGTACTGTAGCGTCAGGTAATTATTAGAAATGTGTACCGAAGGAACAGGGTGGGGAGAAAAGAAAATGGAAGAGGAACCGAAGATATATGAGAACATGTGAGCCGACGCGCCTGCAAGTCATGAGGGTCGGCATATGATTCGAACCTGGTGTCTGGTGTCCGTAAATGGGTATAGAAGTGTTGACTAGCCTTGTCCATCAAACGCGCCAGATGTGGCCGTAAGTCTTTCTTTGATATCAAGTGTCTAGAGCAGGCGAATGCAACTCAACATCTGCTAAATATGGAGTTGAGTTGATTGGAGTGGATAGTTATTGCTTGCCCAGCATCAATGACAATGTAGAACAAAAGAAATCGCAAGAGAACAGAGAAACTATACTCGGTAACCGGCCCGTCGGGCTCAAGCGCAAACAAAACCGTCAGTCAGATACAAGTATAAAACACTAAGTAACTGAAAAAGGAGTAGATATTGTTTCTTTTATTATTTTTTTTACTTTATTGCCCTGGGGATTTAACTAAAAGAGAGCAGGTTCGCTAGTGACTCAACAACACTCTTATTCCCGCTACAAACCTCACCGGTGGATCACTTCTCGCCGCCAAAATTCCATATTTAACGTCCCAATACCACATCAAATACTCAACGGGCGGCATCGCTAACTCTTCACATCGACTCAGGTGCACCAATTCTTTGCTTCACGACATCTGAACACGGGACGATCTCTATCTTCTACCTTTTCTTCGCAATCCTCGACGTCGGCATCTTCATTAACGTTTAGACCCTCGTCAGGGTGGCGCCGAATTTGAAAACCTAAAAACAAAAGAATACCGTACTCCGTTCCCTCATTAGAGTGCCTTTTCCATGCACTTTTACCCAGAAAAAAGGAAAGGCCTGTGAACTTTCTATGAAAACAAGAGATGTTTTGAATTTAGAATTCGAAACGAGCGATCATGAACTTTAACGGAGAAGGCATTCGAATGAAGAAGCTAGAAAAAAATGATCGGTTACGGTAGCCTTTGTTCGGAGAAGACCGCGAGGCGAAGTTTTTCCATGCGTCGAGGCAAAAAGGGCTCCGAAATGCCCTGTTCTGGTCCGCTGCGAGTGGCCATCTCGCATGCGGACCTGAAAGCCAAGTCCATGGACAACCTACCTGTCCTACCCTCCTATGACCCACCGTTAGCGAGGGGTGAACCACTCGCTGCTACCCGTAAGCGCGCGAGCGCCGTGGAAGTGGCTCACCCTGCTTCTGTCCTAACAGCGGTCATTTACTAAGGTTTTATCCTTATGACATAAAAGGTACAAGGTAAGGCAAGTAACCAGTAAGCACACGACACGCATAACTGAACCATAAGTACAATAACTGAACCATAAGTACAACGAAGGCAACGAATAACGGTACAACGAGCGATGAGATACAACTGAAGGTAAGTGAGATCTTGTAGGATGGAGCAGGTGTTTCCGGTAGGACGAGGCGTCGCCTCAGAGATGATGAGAGGTCCAAGCTGCAGTCTCGGCCTCGGCAAGCGGTCGACTCCCCGAGCTTCTCGTGTGTTGCCTCGCCACGCCCTGGAAAGACAAGATGAGTCATGGGAAAACATCGAGCGCCGCGCCTGTAACGGCGCGGCTTACAACATAAAGTACACACACCGTTCTACAATCACTTCTACAAATGTGATAAAGTTATAACGGTAAAGTACTAGACTGTATGAAGTCTAATGATAAAACCACATTAATAGAAAGAGAACTTTTTGGGTCAAACTCCTGATGACAGCATATACCTTTGGGGTAAATGATAAGATAAAGGGGTATGGAAACATTACAAATATAGATAATCCTCTTATGTACAAGGGCAATCATCCCTTCTTCTCTCTTAAAATTACAAAACAATTGGTAAATAGAGGAAAAAGAAACACTAAACAATAAAGTAAACACATACGATAATATTATGGCAGAGATAACGTGTAATAATGAAACATTCGAACCTGTTCAGTACTACAGAATGCTCAAGAGTCTGCGTAAAGAAGAAGTTAAGAAACTTATTGAGCTCTCCATGTTCGCTGACTTTACAGAGCGTGAATACTAAGACTAGGTACTTAATATTTTGCCTACTCGCTCACTTTCATATTGACACTACCAGAAAAGAAATCACCAGAAAGAAATATCATAATGTAGAGGTCAGTTTCAAGAGCAGAGTATTCAGTGAAATACCCTTCAACAGAATCTTCAATTCACGTACTACTGGAAATATAATACTCAGCGATAGTGGTGCGAGTAGTGAATTCACCCTAATTAGAATTATATATAAGTACAACAGCACAATGGCTAGCAATATTTGCAACTACAACAAAGTGCTGAAAGATCTCGACAGCGAAAAATTGAAGCAAATACTCAACAGCGATTGTATATGTATTACAAATACAGTACAAGAATATGTGGATAAAAATTATGAACACGTTATCACATGGAATGTAAATCTTATAAAAGAAGAGAGTTTCAGAAGACTACTGAGTAAAGGGACTAAATATCGTGCAGACACAGGCATAACAAGACAAGGAGTTAAAACGGTGTTTGAAGATACAGTCATCGAGGTTATGAATTATTTGAAATGTAAATACAAAGTTAGCAATCACAAGGTTAATCTATTACAGAAACATTTTCGTACATGTTACCCTGACAAAGTTAAAGCTCTACTTACAAAGGCTAATATTGAAAATGTAGGAGAACACATACCTTACAACTTGATCAAGCAATATCAAGAAAAATACGTGTTCTGTCCTTTCGACAAAGCAAACAATAACTCTGGCATCATCTGCAAGAAGCTCTACCTTTCAAACATAATGCATGAAATGGGCATTTCTTATGATGCTGCCAACCACACATTTGTCCATGGAAACAGTAATAACACATATTAATTAACCAGTCGCCTCGCCGGCTGACGCCGGCGCGGCTCCTTCTGATACGGCCCGGCTGCGCCGGGCGGGCGCGGGCGTACCTCCTTTCACATATTTCTAGACTCATCTGATATCCGCCTCTTGTTCTGTACTCCACTTTTTTTCGGTCTGAAGTTACTCTTGAGCTATTTCACAGATTCTCCGTCTGACTCCGCCCACCTCAGAGCAGACCCCGCCCACAATTTTTGTGCCCCACAATCTTCACCGGCGACCTCAGCTGACCTTAATCGACTTTTTCTAGTGTCTGAAGTGTTCCGGAACCGTTCTACAGAATTTTTGTCTGGCTCCGCCCACCTCGAAACAGGTTTCGCCCCCAATTTTTGTGCCCCGCAATCTTCACTGGCGACCATCTGCTGACCTTAATCCACTTTTTTTCCGGTGTCTGAAGTGTTCCGGAACCGTTCTACAGAATTGTTGTCTGGCTCCGCCCACCTCGAAACAGGTTTCGCCCCCAATTTTTGTGCCCCACAATCTTCACTGGCGACC